TTAAAATTAATCCTTTCAGCTGCCATATTCCATGAGCTAAAAAAATATTTGTATAATATCTCCGTGCAAAATAATGTCACCTTGAGGTCTGTTTAATGTTGCTTTTTGAATAATATGTTCAAACATTCCTGCTAAATGCACAACTTTAAACAGGCTGGATTGAAAGATCTTTTAATATGATTTGGAGGATGAAATCACCAAGTTACCTGTTTTTTCTTTCTTTTTCAATAGCCCACTTGAGATTTACAACTTTTAAATGGAGTATCATTGTATTCTGCTATGAATCAGATGGACAGTTTAACTATTTGGGTGCCATCAGTCTAACCTTTATAAATGCTGGCATTCATGGACGTGACACATTTTTTCATGAATGTGATATTAACATATCCGTAATGTGTTTTGTTAATGTATCCATAATGTTTCTTCAACCCTAATTTCAAAATTTCAGTTTTCTAAATTTCCAGCATATTTAGCTACTGTTAGGTTGACCAAGAAATTCCCATTTTTCTTGGCCAAAATGATCCAATCTAATACTCACTTAATTTGAATTTTAAAAGATAAAGCAGAAGTGCTACCAACTAGCAATTTTACTTCTGCCTTTGGCTGGAATAATTCTCAAATGCATTCTCTACTCTACTAAAGTATAATTTTGTACTATGTATATTATTTTTCATAATTTTGAAAACTTGCACCTATATCTGCCTCTAAAACTATCTTTGCACCTTTTTGACTCAGCTATCCTAAAATAGCCTCCCATACCAACTTTGGAAAACCACAACTTACATGCAAAGTTAGGATAACATTCAAAGGTAGGATGGAGATAAAGGTGTTTTCTATTCTTCTAAATATTCTTTAAATTATACTTCAAGCAGCTTTAGGAATATTTATATAAAAGTACTTACAGTTTTCTCACAATCTGGCATAGGGCCCTAAGGAAGCCAGAAAAATTCATGCCATAATTGAACTATCAAGGTCCAGAAAAATGGCAGTAAAGGGGTAAGGGACAACACGCCTCATTTATGCTTTCTTTATTTCACTCACTGAAGAAGGTATTATTTGAACATTGTCTAAGAGTTTTGTCAGACATCAACTTTGAAAACCCAAGTCAAATGCATTTGTACCAGCATCGAAAGAAAATAAAATCTAAACTAGGGCGAGAAACAACCTTTCCCCCACAACGCTGGAGATGTGTCATTTTTCAGAGTATTATCTGCATGTGAGGTCCTCGCAGAGGTGACTCTATTAGCTCCCCTCGCTGTGGTCCAGCAAAGCAAACAACTATCCCATTATCTCATGGCACTTTCTAGTTTGTGTGAAACCAGGAAAATGCAGTTTTGAGACACAGAACATAGCATTCATTACAGGAGAGCTAGTTAAAGGCTGCTAAGGGGCCCTTTGGCTCCTGGGGCTGCCGAGGTATTTGGAGGAGGTCCACGTGCCTGCCCACATCCATTTTGGATGAAATTCTCATTGCAAATACATGTTACCTAATACCCCCAAATATATGAAAGCCTTCCTGGTTTTTACAGTTTATAAGCCCACCTGACAATGAATTCTGTGTGGAAATATCAAAATTCAAGTAACAAAGACAATTTTTGAGACGATCAAAAATAGAAACCATTATCAGAGTATAAAAACATTTTAGTTACTTAAGAATCCACACTTCTAAGAAAAGCAGCCTTATTAAGCGACATTTGCTCAATAGGCAATTTTCCCCATTTAATTTTCATAAATAGATCACTTTGAAATGTATTTCCCCTAACAAAGACTGCATATTAACAACAAATGATACAACATCTTCAAATTTTAATTAATGTCAAGAGCTTTATTTTGCTTCCAAGCAACTTACAAAGACGTGTTATTAATATAATTTCATTTAAGGGGATAGGCATTTGTTTTCTATTTTTAAAAAGGTGGTTCTGAAACTCTGGCCCTGTCAACATCATTTAAACATTCCTGTTCCCTGCCTCAATATAATAAATTGAATCAGCATTTTAATCGTGCCCATGTTTTGTGGTTCCTGGCAGTACAAAAAGATTCTCTGTAAGCACACAACTCCCCCTCCAAAACACCCCACTGTGTGATTAATTACTAGTCTGGAAGATATAAATATGTCTCTCAATAAAGACAGTATAGACTGCTAGAAGCTCTGGCCTTAAACATCTTGGTGGGGAGCCTTAACTTTGCAGACATCTTCCTAATTCAAACAAGATTCTGGCTCCAGCATTCACGGAAAGCTCCACCGTGATACACTGTTTCTTCATTGAACAGCATATTTATTTTAATTACCAGCACTTTGTACATGTACAAGAATCAGAGGAAATCAGGCTTTTTATGTATAAATATATAGAATTCTCAAGGTATCTCTCTGTTTCTTAAGAAAGAAAGAACTGAGAACAGTAGAAAATAACCTTGAGTTTTTTAAAAAAGCAATCTTTATATAAAAGTATTTTAGGTTACACCCTGACATTACTCATGCTTCATTGTGAGTTAAAGATCTGGCCAAGAGACCATAACTTTATAAACGAAGACATGAACCAGCAAGTATTTGGCTATGCATAAGCCTCACATCTAGTGTCTGAACTGAGAAGCCACCATGATTGCTAGAAATGAGAGAAGTTTACAGAAAGGACTTGTTGGCCACTTCCCCTCACCTCCACAAAGTGAAAACAAGAAGTGACGGAATTCCTAGGACTGTTACTAAAAGTCAAAATAAGGTTAGGAGGACTTATACCAATCATTTAACCAGAAATTCCAACCAAAGTCAACCAACTGGAAAATAAAGATTAATGTAAAAAAAAATCAAGACTAGAAGCTGGCTCTTTTAAACTGGATAATTCTCAAGTGTAAATTTTTGGTTTAATAGTTTGCATTAATGATGATAGCATTTATTGCCACAAGTGAATACCACATCCTCAACAACCTTTCAATATGTTTTTAACACAGGGGGTGAAGGAGGATAAGATCATCATAGATCATTCTGGCCAGTCTAGAAATCGAGGCATCATGTTTCTAACCATTCTATTTGAAACAGAATGAAAGAAATCCATTATATGTTCTGCCATGGAAAAAATACTATTTGTACTCAGACTTCTACTCTCCTACTATTTATATTTTTACCTGACCCTCAAAGATAGATTTTTTTAGCACAATCATCAAATGTAAATGAAGGATTAAATTACTCAGCAAACATGAATCTGAAGTGGAGTTATGCAGTAGACTGCAAAAATGGCCATAATTTCCCAGTCTTTAAATCTGGGCTGGTCTTGTAGCTTGCTTTGACCAATAAAATGTGCAAAAATGGCAGTATATCAATTCTAATCTTAAGCCTTAAGAGATCTTGCAAGCTTTCACTCTCAAATTCTTGGAACTCTGTACTCACCATGGGAACAAATCTAGACTAGTCTCATCCAGATTGAGAGCCGATGTGGAGAAAGGCCCCAATCATCCCAGCTGTCCCAGACGTGGCCATCATAAACCAGTCAGCCCTCACAATCTGTCAGCAGACAATAAGTACACAAGCAACCCCAGACAAGATTAGCCAAGGTTGGCCCACACTAGAAGAACCACCCAGCTGAGCACAGCCAAAATTATCAACCTAAAAATTAAGCGGGTACTTTTTTAAACTACTAAGTTTCAGGGTGGTTTGTTATACAGAAATAGAAAACTGACACAGGTTCTATAACCTGTAAGCTAGTTTAAGTTTCCCATTATGCTCATAGCCTTTACCAGGTACTAGCATACATACTCTGTTGACCTAGTTTCTTTGGAATTCTGATACCACTTTCTTTCTGTAACAAAATTAAGCACTTAGCTAACTTATGCCCTATATGATTTTGTAAGGTATATCTAAGTATTTATGTTTCATATACAAATTCCCCATGTTTTATATTAATTTTTTATTATCCAACACATTAAAACATAGTGTTCAAATACTTGGCTTGATTTTTAAGTAGCTAAAGTTTGTAATAAGACCTTTAAACTTCATGTACTAATATTTTCTTATTTGTAACATATAAATAATATTGGCCTGTTTCACCACAAGGGAGATTGAGTAATTTTTAAACTTTCACAACCCTTTACAAAATAATCTATAATAAATTTTATAATAAGAAAACAAAAAACTAGATAAATTTTAAAATTTCTTTGTATAGCAAAAGTCACCGAAAAAACACAATTAAAAGACAGTGTCTGGGAGAAAATAGTTCAGATATACTTAACAGAGGAAGAACTAAAGTCCATAATATACAAAGAGCTCCTATAAAGCAATAGAAAAAGGCAAACAACTCAACAGAAAACTGAGAAAAAGATATAAATTGACAATATTCAGAAGTACAAATTTAAAAAAACTGAAAAGATGCATAATCTCACAGATAATCAGGAAAGTGCAAATTAAAATAATGATATGTTTTATCTATCAGATTATTAAAAAGTAGAAAGCTTAAATAAGATTCAATATTGGTGAGTATATATGAAATTAGGTTCTCTCACACACCACTGATAGGAGTATAAAGTGGCATAGATTTTAGGAGGACAGTGGGCTGTATCTATCAAAATTTTAATTAGGCACAGATCTTTTAACTCAAAAATATGTACTGAAACCTTGTTTTTAGTATTTAAAAACTAGAAACCTGAATATCCATCATGGTAAATATTGACTCATCCATTTATAGAAAACACAAAAATTTAAAAAAATTGTTATGAATTTCTATGTACTGACACAAAAGATCAAGAAATATTAGGTTTAAAAGGCAGTTTTCCAAAGAATGTGCATAGTACAATACCATTTAAAAAAAAATAAATAAGTATATAAATACAAAGAAAAAAGTCTAGAATTGTACACCCTAAAATTGCAGCCATGACCAGTTAATGGGATGTGGTGGTGGGGTGTTTAGGACAGTGAAGGAAAACAATAATTTTTATATGTTTATGTACTGTTTGAATTTTCTATAAGTATGGATTTATGTGATATGTATGTAATTTATTTATATTGCACTTACCTAGGCAGCAGAAGGAGGCAAAGGAAAGATGGATTCAACTAGAAAGACCCAAAGAAAGAGTTGGGTCTTCATGGAGAAAGTCTTCACTTTTACCCTGGTTCAAACCAGGGGCGCAGTGGGCGTTGCACTTGGATACAGGCACATACTAGCATTGGGCGCTCCTGTGATGTGACGTCCTCCATGGCAGAGAAGAGGAGACACCAAGCAGCAAGCTGTGCCAGGGAGCCCATGTTTGGCCTCTCAGGAACACAGAGGAGCATCCTCCAGGAGTCTGGAATCAAGAGGAACAAGATGAGCCTTGGAAAATTAAACTTGAAGATGGATACAAACTGGATCAGAGGAGAGGCCACCTAAATAATAACAAAGCTAGCAGCTACCCACTACCAAGCAATCTCCCTGTGCCAAGCACCGATGTCTTCCACACTCTATGTCTCACTTCATCTTCACAACAACTCTAGGGTGTTTGCATTTTATGAAAGGGCAAAATAAACTTAGCGAGGTTAAGAAAATGAGCAAGGGTCACAGCTTATACATGGCAGCACTGGGGATTTGAACCCAGTTCTGTTTCATTCCAATGTCCATGAACATGGTATGCTCTCTCCTGCAAGAGAGGCAAAAAGGCTGCTGGATTGGCAACATATGACTATATCCTTGCTGTATGTATTAATACAGCTAAAGATATAATGGATCAATCAAAATGTGGAAGTCTATGGTCCTTAAGGGATATCTCCACTATCTTTTTTTATTTTGGGCCTGTTCTGAATTCATACAATCTATATGATTGATACAGGCATTGTTGAAGAATATATTTATTACAAATCTGTTGCAAACACAGGCCAAATGGATTTCCCCTACAGACTCAGAGTTAATACATAGAGAATTAGGGCAAGTGGAGTGGGAGGGAGGGTACTGTGTCCTTAAGGTTGAGAAAGAGATTTGAAACAAGACTGATAAGACACACTGATGGGAAAATCATGTCCATGTTTATCTGTTGTATATTTTGAGGGTCTATGTAGAATTTTTTTGAAGAATGGGTACCACTGCTTTAAACAAAAATGTTTGGACCCCAATGAGGTAGAAAGTAACGCTCTGTTCAGCTGTGTAATGACTATTGAAAATAGTCTTGGAATTCTTTGGAAATCAACTACAGGCATTTGTGGCTCCAGCTGACTGAGACATGTGGTTGGGAATAATTTCCAAGGATTTCTCCAGAGTGGCTCTATCTAGTATTCTCTTAAGGATTTAACTTATAACCATAAAAGAGCCCTTATAATTGAAACCATCACCCCTAACTCCAATCCTAAACTCCAATGCATTTAAGCATTATAAAAGACATAAAAGGAATATAAGGTTTTCTGGAAATGCCAAGCAATCCTTTGGAATACAGGTGTATATCAGGGTGCAGAGGTAGTGGTTATCAGTGTAGCTCCAGACCCCAGCCATCTTGGTTCAAACCCTTACTGCTGCTCCTTACTAGCTGTGTGGTCTTGGGGAGGTTACATAAAGCTCTCCAAGCCTCGGGATTTTTATATGTAAAATGTAAACCACATAGGATCATGGTGAGCATTAAATGCCGGTGCTTGGTGCCAGCTAGCACTGAGTGAGCCACCTCAAACGTTAGCTTACACGTTATCCCAGTGGAAACAAAGTTTCGAAGAACAAATGGAAAGTGATTTGGAGAACAGAAAGCAACACAATGCAGGGAGGGCAAGAAGTGATCAGAAAATAGGGGGAGTGAAGAAGGGAGATGGGGAACTGAAGGGGCTTCACGATCTGCTAAGGTTTGGGCTTCACTCTGCAGGGCATGGAGATTGATCAAAAATTATTTAGTAATTCACTTGTGTGGAAAAAATATACATTAAGTGCTTACTCTGTGCCAAGCACCGTGGTAGTGGAAGAAATAAGAAGGTAAATAAGGCAGGATTCCTGCCTTCAAAGAAGTCAATTTAGAAACAGAGACAGAGACAAATCGTTACAGTCCTAAAAGATGGGGATTATAATGAAAGAATGCACAAAGTGCTACGAGAACATAGAGGCTAACGTGACCAAGTTTGGCAGAGAAGGGAGAAATCTTCCTGAAACTATAACTGGTAGGTCAGAGAGGGTATTGTCCAAAAAAAAAAAAAAAAAAGAGGAGAGATGTTTAATAAATCTAAGATGAAGAGAAGAAATATTTTCGTCCAGTGAGGAAGTTTAGAATAGCTGGGACTGTAACATGTTTGCACCTTCAGGCATCAGGCTGAGCCTAAAGTGATAAACCTTAAAACTCTGCTTCCTCAGAGTCCCACAGGCCTCTGAAAGACACAGAGGAAACAGCCCCAGTTGCTTACAGAGCCACCGCTGGAAGAAGTTTGCTCCCCTGAAGCTGATCACTGCTTTGACTCTTAGGGAAACCTTCAGAGAGGATGTGAACAAAACTTCTCTCTTAAATCCTGTTCATTTGAGAAGTTCACCATCACTACCACATGAGGATGGGATGATCTGCACATCCGCAAATGGAAAGAAATAGAATGAGGATTACAAAAATTGTATGTGGCATATTGTTGAAGGGGGTGGTAAGCTGAGTAACACTCCTCCCAAAGATGCCCACAGCCTAACCCCAGGACCTGTGAACATGTTACCTTACATAGTCACAAGGACTTTGGAGATGTGATTAAGGATCTCAAGAAGAAAGACATGAGATGACAAAAGCAGAGGTCAGAGCGATGCACTGTGAAGATGAAGGAAGGTACCAGGAGGAAGGTACCACGAGCCAAGGAACACAGGCAGCCTCTATAAGCCAGAAAAGACAAGGAAACAGATTCTCCCCTGGAGCCTCCAGAAGGAACCCAGCCCTGCCAATACCTTGAACCCCGTGAGATGCATTGCAGACATCTGGCCTCTAGAACTGTAACAGAATAAATTTGCCACTAAATTTATAGTCACTTGTTATAGCACCAATCAGAAACAGATATGGGGAAGAAAGGTTTCCTCCAAAGTCCTCAAAACCCAAGCAAATATTATTTCATCAATCCTCCTAACATTCTAGAGAGGAGAAAGAGAAGATTAGAGCAAGTCGTTCAAGAAGAAAGCAAATAAATATCAGAACAGGGAAAAAATATCCAGTTTAATACCCAAAGGGAGACGTGACTCTCCCAGCTCCAAAAGCACAAGGTCTCTGGAGGACTCCTAAGCTTCATCTGAGCAAGAGGTTAAGATTCAACATGTGGGGAAGGCCAGGAATTTCATTTTGGTGATTTCCGAGGATTATAGTGAGAGATGCCCCACGTTCGGTTATCCTCACTGCCCATGGAATAACACCCAGAACACAGGAGGTAGTACAAATTGACTCCACAGCAAGGAGGACCCAGCTCCTCCCCAGATAAAGAGAAAGCATACTGGTATTAGCCACAGAGATGGAGAGAGAAAATCCTCTTCCCCGCCCAGAGCAGGCAAAGTTTGTGCTAACGTTTATGGGAGAAGAGGGAAAAAGCAAAGTCGGGAAGAAAATGCATCTACATCATTCACATCCCCAAGCAAATAAACAGACTAAGGGCTCTAGGGAATGCCAAATTTAGTTCTTTGCTTCATTCCCAACTTGCAGAGCCCTTGAAAATACATCTAAATGTTATCATCAATAACATCACCTTCTAAAATCAACACCTTTTCATTTGTGAATTTTCTTCCCCATTTGACCACGTGAAACCTGCAAGTTTAACATACACCAGGAGAGGAAGGCAACAAGGTAGACAATCTCCAGCTAAGAAATTTGAAAAAAAAAAAATATATATATATATATAAATAATAGAAAAAAAATCAACCTTTGATGAAATAATTGCTTCTGCTGTTATTTTTTGCTATTGCTTCAGAAATGTTCCCTCTCTCTCTCTTCCTTTCTTGTCCCTATAGCGAGGTGCCCTGCTGTTGTGCAGATGAAAGGTCCAGACTCTTTAAAATTTCATGCAGAGCTCTTCACAACATCGAAGCTTTAAAGGCCCTTGGCAAATTCAACATATTGTTACACTTGATGGAAGGAGATAAAAATTACATGCAAAATATACTGTATATTCATTGTCTAGAAATACTATAAAGTTACAGCTTCCTGTATTGCACTAACAGACACAGACATGTATATTCTGATTTCAGTCTTTAGAAACACAAAAGATGCACATGGAGTGAGTATTGTGGCAAAAATAAGAATGAAACTCAAATCTTCCAAAGGTTAGATTAGGGTCCTAGGATGTGTGAACAGTTTTGTTCAATTTTCCTAAATTGCTTTAGATACGTGAAACATATTTAAAAGACACCAAAAGATAGAAAGAGAGAGAGAAAGAGAGAAAGGATTTTCTAAAACTTGTATATATCATGGGGTTATTTGCCCTAAGTCATCTTTATTTTTATATCTCTGTAAGAAAAATATGGGGATAGCTGATTTATGTATAAAATTATCTTTAAAAAAAATAAAGAGCTAGTACTGTAGACATTGGAATGAGGGGACACGGTGACTCAAAAGCAAGTTTGTCAATCACGACTCTTTGAGGTTTTAACTGTAATGGGTGAACTGTATTTTAAAGTTTATTTTAAATTCACAAGTCAGACATCATTAACTATACATCTGAGTTTTCAGTTTGTGCTTTATTGCAGCTATTTTTATGTGGCCCCATTGAGCCAGACTTATTCATTTGTATTCATTTATTCTCTTCTTTCAAACATGCATTGGCCACCTGCAACATTGCCAGGCACTGTCCTAGGTATTAGGGATGAAAAAATGTGGTCCCCACCTGCGGAGGGACTGCGATACAGTAGAAGGAGACAGACACAGCAAAGAGTACGTACAACAAAGACTTCGTGGTCCTACGGCAGAAGTAGGTGTGAGATGTCACGGTGGGCACGGGAAGTGTTTGATTTGTTCTTTCTGGAGGAAGAGACAAAAAACATCTCTAGGGGTCAGCCCTCGACCACAGACTTAAAAACCATCTAGGTGTTGATGAAATAAACCAAGGCAGTGGCAGTAGGTAGGGAAGAGAAGACAGATTTCGGAAAAATCAAGAGTATAAAATCTACAGGACTTGGCTACTGATCAGAAGCAGAAAGGAAGAGGAGTGAAGGATGAATCCCAGGTTTCCAATATTGAAATCATTCACCAATTCATTCATCGTTTCTAGTTATTTACTACCTAATATGTGCCAGGCCCTGTGTTTCTGAATACTGGTGACACAACAGTAAACAAATCACAAAAGAACCCAACTCTCCAAACATAACAAGGACAAACAGAAAACTAACAAACAAACT